GATATAACGCTTACCACCGAAGCAGACAATACTGTAAAGACTATCGTTGAGGACGAGTCGGACACAGAGGTTGTGGTCTATAATCATATCACGTAAAGGCTTATTGTGTTATGTGTTGTCTTTGGATTATACAGACAATAGACACGACACCACTGGTGAGGAATGTTAGCTCCCGGGGCCACACAAATAGCGCATCCATTTCCCATCAAACTGTTCCCCAAACCAATGCAAACGAATCGGCGCCCAATGGGATGACCACCGAAATAGTGGCCATAGAATCAAATGGTGATAATGGGACGGAGGACAGGGAGGGACGAAACACTACAAAAGCTTTAATAGACACGAAGACATCGATGGCTAAATCGGCGACCAATACAAACAGCCCTCCACTGAACCTTTGGAACCGTTGGACACATCGATGGAAGTGTCCAGACGTGAAGAATCAGTGTTTGATTTGATTGAACCGGAGTTTGAATTTACCGCCGAAGCAGACAATGATTGCGAACTCATGGCTGAGGATGTGGTGGACGCACCGGTGCGTAAGGCGGTCGACGTACTCGACAAGAGGTGGAGTATCAACAATCGGGTCGAGTATCTGATCCAATGGCATGGTCTCGGTGTCACCCAAAGCTCGTGGGAATGTATGTCTTTGTGTCTTACCATTGATTATGTCTTAAGAATGCATTCATTAATTGTTTTTATGTTTTATTTGATTCCATAGCTGAAGACAGTCTCGATTGTCCGGTGATTATCATTATATATTGGGAATGTATGTCTTCGTGTCTTACCATTGATTATGTCTTAAGAATGCATTCATTAATTGTTTTTATGTTTTATTTGATTCCATAGCTGAAGACAGTCTCGATTGTCCGGTGATTATCATTATATACAATATATGGTGTCTTAAGTGTCGTATAGTGTCTTACATCTGGTTATCACAGAAACTGATCGATGAATACAACAGGACTTCGAAGGGATTGAAGACAATTAAGAGGAGGTTATGGTGTGACTCACGGCCCAAGAGTAACGGTGCGTCCGATAGTGAGACTCAACTGCCGGCTCGCAGTCCGGAACCATTGGAATCAATGTTTGAGGATTCGTCGGACAACATGTCGACTGAAGTGTTGGTATCGATGTCACCGAAACTGGTAATTGACTTCGAGGAATATAATGACAATATGGAAGGGGTGGGGATCTGTTCATTAATTACGTAAACCTCTTATAGTAATACATTATCTCATGACATGTGTTGATGTCTTTGAATGGCAGTCAATCATCCGCAATGAGTGGACACCGGAATCAGTGCCGATAGGAGTGTCCGAATCGATGGTCACTGAAGAGGTCCATGAGGTCTATGATGAGGCCGAGTATGTGGTGGAAGCAGTGGTCGACAAGAGATCTGTTGACAATAAGACTGAATATCTGATCCAATGGCAAGGATTCGATGACAACCACAACACGTGGGAACGTATGTATTGTGTCTGACCATTGATTGTCTTATAATTGCATTCGTTAGTCGTTTTTCACTTTTATCTCATTCATAGCCCAAGAGTTTCTCAACTGTCAGGTGATTATCACTAAACTATCGGACCTAATGTCTTGTGTCCAATGGTTTTGATTATCGATTACAGGAACTGATCGATGAATACGAACAGTGGGTGAAAGTGTCGGAACCGACACCACAGTCATCGACATCGCCGCTGCACTCAAGCCCTCCGAGCGCTTCCAATGAGTCCATAGAATTAGCGAAAGCTTTAAAAACGCCGCCACTGTTAGCACCGGTATCTCCAGAAACTACCGCAACTTCGGGAGCGTCGATGGGAACACCGCCTGAATTGTCGCGTTATATGTGGTCACTGGGCCTGACATCTACTTCTGAATCGATAGCCTCCGGAACAGACACTCGGAGGGAACGGGAGGCGGATGTGGAGTACGACGACGATAAGGACGAGTATGTGGTGGAAGACATTCGGGCGAAGGGCTACCGAAACGGACGGGTCGAGTATCTCATCAAATGGCAGGGATTGGACGAGAGCTACAACTCGTGGGAAGGTATGTCTCAATGAAGTTACCATTGTTTCGGTCTTAAGATAATTGTTTTGTTTGTATCGATTGCCAGTCAAAGACACGCTGATCGAGACGTGCGACTGTCAGGTGATTATAGCGCCGGTAGCTCAAGATGTCTTCAACTCTTGACTAATATGTCTTATTGTCTTATCTACAGAAACTGATCCACGAATACGAGTTGTCGTTGAAGTCATCGACGTTTCCGGTGGCGACCCAAAGCTTACGGTCGTTGGGGTCGTTGTGCGCCCACCGGAGCTCCGGTACGTATGACCGACCGGTGAGTCCCAGAGTCGGGTCCCGAGTACTGCGGCCACGGGTTAACCGGAAGTACGTACACTTTGACAGCGATTCCGATGAATGAGTTTGTGGTTAGCCATCGATGACTATGAAGACCATGAATGGAGTGATAATATTGACGACATTTACTGACAATCAGTTTAATTATATTTGAATTTATAGTATTTGTTGTAATTATTAGGTATTAGGACTTAGGGTTACCGTTACGTTCATTCATATCGTATGAATTTGTGTATTAATTATGAGTTTTATATGAGTTTTATAGCAACACGAATGTAATATTTGTTCATTTATAGCCACGAATTGGCGAATAATAATGATTGTGTTATTAACCATTAAATTATGTCTAAATTGAATACATAAATAAAATGTTTCATATGCCTTATTTTTAATACAAATATTTTAACATTCATATTGTGGGACTACAGGCAATGATTTTCGGGTCAAAAATTTTTATTTTATTGAATATAAAGTATAGAGTGTCACATTGCATTACAACTAATATAGTGAATAACCTGAGCAAAAAAAGTTTGTTATTGAGAAAAAAAGGTTTGAATACAGTATTACCATTTGGTGGATATAAATTATGTACGAATAATTTTAATGTTTAAATGTCAGATTATACTTAGAAATTAACTAAATTTTGAAAAAATTGAACTAAAATATCTAAATAATGAACTAATTAACGATATTGTTAATTAAATTAACTTAATAATGAACGAAATTTACTCATTTATTTAGTTAATTTGGTTCACAATTTAATAAATTTAGTTCATTATTAGTAAATTTAGTCTATTATTAAGTTAATTGTTAATTTAGTTAAATGAACATATTTAACTAAATTAACAACATAGTTAACTAAATTAACTTAATAATGAACTAAATTTACTAAATTGTTAACCAAATTAACTAAATAATAATCTTAGTTAACTAAGTATTTAACTAAATTAACAAAACAGTGAACTAAATTAACTAATAATCTAAATAGTGATTATGTGAATTTATTTCACATCAATTATAACATTAAAATAAAATAAATAATTAAATGTTTTCCAATCACAACACCATTAATACACACAACACATGCTTTCAAATCACATGAAATATTTTGTAAATATATCACATAAAATAAGTCATAAGTTTGCCTTATCTGAAGTGAACACTCATTACTTTCATATAAAATCTGTTTAATGCAGTAGTTTTCTACACCTAAATCCCCGAAAATCATTGCCTGCATGTGGGACAATAAATGTGTGCATTCATTGTATTCATATGGTATGGAAATTTTTAATGAAATTGTGTTATACTGTAAAATCGATCTAGTGTATAAAAGTTTTAAAAAATTGTGCAAGTCAATAATTTCGAATTTCCATTTTGAAAAATTGGTTCATGGTTAAAATTTAAACTTGCAATCCTTGTATTTGTAAGATAGTGTCAGGGCTTTAACATTTCAGTTTGAGTTTACTTTTGGTTCAATTTATTTAATTGTAAATTATGATCAGGGCATTCATTAGCTTATTTTTGATTCAAATTAAATGCCAGTATTTATAACTTTTGTATGTTAATCAATAAACACATTATTTTTAAAAATAATACTTTTAGCAATTTGCAATATAGTTTACTACCGGTAATATATCATTAGCTTATTTTTGATTCAAATTAAATGCCAGTATTTATAACTTTTGTATGTTAATCAATAAACACATTATTTTTAAAAATAATACTTTTAGCAATTTGCAATATAGTTTACTACCGGTAATATATATTTTATTAAAATGCTAAATTTTATTTATTAAAACAATTTTAACCATTATTTTCATAAAAATGTTAGATTTACAATATTATTAAAAACATTTAGTCTAAAAATAAATATAATTTACTTAATACTATTAATGACTAATAAGTACTTTGTGTTCAGTAATAGACTACTTTATAAAACTTTATTAATTTAACTAAATACGTTAGTAAGAAAAAATATATTACAAAAGCATTAACATAATTAATGGTGTTATCATAACATTTATAGCTAATAGTCATAAACATTACTCTACTAAATATTATAATTCACAGAATATTCTTTAATATAATATATTATATATAATTTATATTATATTACAAAAGATCGCTGATAATAATGAATGAATGTAATGATAAATTGTAATAAAATGTATTATACACATTTTTACAATAATTTTTACAATAAGACTATTTAGTGCTCATAATCATTAATATTCAAATAATTTATAGCCTAATATAAATCATTGGTTATAGCGGGGATACCAGGGTATTAAAATTAAAAACTATAGAATCATAAAAATATATTAAAATGATAAAAATGATGGAATAAAATATTTTATTAAAATTATGTACTTTCTTAATTATTAATTTTTTTATATTAAAAGTTTTGATCCTAAATTTTATTGTTCTTGTTTATTTTTTTATCATTAATATCACTGCATAATTTACTTAATGGATATCCCGTGATAACCAATACAATATACGGTAAATTCAATTTAACAATTTCTATTAAACATTAAAATAAATACAATAATGAATATAATAGTGTACAGTATTAAAATACAATATTATACATTTACATTTTTTGTATTCATAATTAAATTGATTGCAAATCCCCAAAAGCACTACATTTCCAGTTATAAGTACTAAATGATGTCATGGACTGTAATATCGTAAACAAAATTCTCATTTAATTAATTGTATTCATATTTTATTCAAAAAATATATGCAAATCATATATTTTATTTTTAGTATTTGAGTTAATAATTTGTATAATGTGCTGGTTGTATTACACTGTATTATAATATTATGTGTAACTAACCCTCGGAATAATTCTGCATATATTAGCACTGTTTACACAAGTTTTATAAAATTATTTTTCAAATTATTCAAATTCTATAAATAGGTTTAAAAGCATTGAATATATTAATGAGAATTTATGTTGTACAGTATAGTAAGTAGACGTAAAATTGTGTACTTGTTTAAAAACTTATTTATAAACTTAAAAATGTTTTTATTTATTTATTTTAAACTACAGAAAATGAACAAAAACTGTATTCGATGGACAGACACCAATCTATTAACACATGCACCCGGTGCCATCGATACCAAATGCCACATAAGGATCGCTATATTTTATTCACAAGTATTTAATTTTTAAAACAATTTTCTAATTAAACAAATAATATTGAAAAATGTTTTTATAGATTCACGTCATAAATAATAAGTTGTTTGAAATATGCGACGAATTCTCTGCAATCATTGAATTGTTTTATAAATATCTGAGATGCAGGTAACATATCACCTAGATTCTAATAATATTGTAATAATAATTATTAATTGTAAAATATATTTATAGTATAGAGTTTATAATCCCTGGTGACGAGGTTGGTGGTGTTTTATTAGATAATGGTACTTGGACAGGTATCATGCGTAAATTTTATGAAAATGTAAATATAATAAATTTTAAAATTTTATTAAAAAACAACTTAACTAGATACGCTTATTTATTTTATAGATAGTAGATTTATCTGGTTCATTTATGGCCTACACAAATGATAGATTGACAATAGGGGAGTCAATATACCCACACATAGTCGGCAATCTAATCACAATATTATCTAGCGAAGTTCAACAAGCTAGCACATTCACCTTGTTCAGTTCATTTCGTACATCAACGTGGCTGGCCATTTTATTTGTGTTTGTTATATGTGTCACAATAACTGTCATTAACGCCCGATTTAAACACCAAAAACTGGATAAATATTTTGATTTGACCGAGGCAACCATATGTGTTATACTCGACAGCATACTGGTGCTCATCGGGAAACGTAAATACTTTTTATGAACCAGTATCATTTTTACCGTAAAAAATAAAAATTGTTTACTATTCAAAAATCTAGCTATCATAAGCAAATGCATACGAACTGGATCAGTTGCAAAAATAGTGTTTGCCCTATGGTTTACAAACTGTCTATTTTGGGAGCAATTATTCATTAGTGAATTCCTGTCCAACCTGGCCACAATACCCTTGTCCACCATCAATAGTCTCCAGGATATAGTGGATGATGATAGACAGCTAACAGTGCTCATCGAGAAAACAGGGTTCGCCTACAATGTATTTTTAAAAGTAATGAATTTTTATTATAATTATTTTGATTGAATTAGATTTAGTAGATAAATAAATATTTACTTATTATACTGTAAATAATGAACTGTACCTAAAAACCTATTTTATACGGTAATTTTTATAAGTAATTGACTTTACAATAAGTTTTAAGTCTATTAACTTATAAATAGAGTTTCATGAAATATCCTATAAATGCCAAATATTATATTAATAAATTTTTATAGTTAGCTAGTTACAGCGATTTATAGAAAATCTTACTAAACTCTAATATTGTTTATTTTTAGGATAATTATCCAGCATTGAAATACAAGAACTATTTGGTGTATGATTTAAATTCACTGAAATTTCTGGAGCCTATCATCGATGGGACGGCCGTATTGATCGCCGACGAGCCGGTGGTCGAAGACCTCATTTACCTCAACCCCACGCTATCGCTACATAAGTCGCGCGACAACTCTATGCTTATGAACGCCGGAGTATTCGTACGCAAAGGGCTCAACCCTCACGTGAAACACCGTTTCAAACAAAAGTAATGCCATAAAAATTATTCAAATTATTATAGTGGGCTAACTCGCAAGCAATGAAAAAATAAATAACTACTGAAAATAAACAGCATTATTATTTAACCTCAGCGTTAATAATAGCTTAATAGTGCTAAATAGTTGTGCCCGGTTATATTAGTGCAGAATTGAAATTTAAATTCTATATTCACAAACAAAATAAAATATCATTTTATCATAATCTAAAATAACTATATTTATAGTGCTTTATACTACTTGTTTAATATGTGTTAATTTCATAACCAGGTTCACTATGATGGAGGAGACAGGACTATTATTATGGCGAACGAGAGTTAATAAAATGATAATCAAGATGGAAGATAAATTGCACACAAATAAAATTGAGCATAAAAGTGACCATGGTAAGAGCGAGGACAAATTTCGTCAATTAAAAGTGGGCGATATTAAGATATTTATCTACGTATCTATCTTTGGCATAACATTAGCCGGGTGTGCATTAGTGGGTGAAAGTTTGTATAATCGTACCGATCATGGAAATCGTATAAATAAATTGCGAGCTTTTAAAACTAATTTTTGATTAATTTAATTAAATTGACTATTAAACTAAAAATATATATTATAAAACAATAAAGCATTAGATTAATTAGTATTATAATATAATTTTAAAAGTTTAAATAAAACATAATTGTTATACAGTAGTGAAAGATTATACGATATGTTTATTAAAATTAATTTAAAATAAAATATGTATAATGTGTGTAGAAGTGTGATTAAATCAATAATTACTAACAATATCATTTTACTGTATAATAAATAAGTTTAGTAAAAATATTTTCTTAGTTATTCAACAGGTCAGCATGTTTATTTAATTATTAAAATATACAAAAAATTATATATTTATTTTAGGAATATTATTTTTACTAGACCTCCAGATATAAATAAACTCATAATTTATTCACGGAATTCCCACGTTTAATAAAATAACAATAATTATATTAATAAATACAGTACCAGAAATATACTGTATTCACCACAATGCAAAATGTAGAGTAAAAGCAACTCATTTTATTTGTCATAATTAAATTGATTGCAAATACAAAATAAGGGATTTATTTCTATATTATTACACAATGATGTCATAGACTGTAATGTCGTCAATAAAGTTCTCATTTTATTAATTATATTCATATTTTTGTAACAGATCTATGAAAAGCATTTAATTTGTTACTTGTGTTACTAATAGTTTTACAACAAAAATCATATTAATAAAAGTTCTTGATTTTATGTGCAAGTAACTAATCAAAAAAGTTATTACATTGTAATTATCCATATAGACTGGGTAATTATTATATAAAATAATTTAAATTATATGAATAAAGTTTCAACAACTAAATCAGTTAATATATTAATTTGTATAATTAATAAAAGTTAATAACATTTAAAAATTATTTTACTAAACACCCAGACAATGAACAAAAACTGTATCCAATGGACAAACACCAGTGTACTTAACCATACCCACGGCGCGGGAGATAACAAGTGCTACATAAGGATCGCTATATTTAATTCACTAGTATTTAAATTTATTATAATACAAAATAAAATAATCATGTATTGCTAAATTATGATATTATGTTATAAATGTTGAAATAGATTCATGCGATAAATGAAAATTTGTTTGAAATATGCGATGAATTCTCAGTAATCATTCAATTACTATATAAATATCTAAAGTGCAGGTAACATTTAGAATTTTTAAATAAATTTATAAATTTATAATTAATTATTTTAAATTTATTTTATTTATAGCATAGAATTTATAAGTCCTAGGCAACAGGTCGGTGGTGTATTAGAAAATGGTACATGGACAGGTATCATGCGTGAATTTTATGACAATGTAAGTATAATAAAAGTTTGTAGCACTTTAAAAAATAATCTAAACTAGTAAAATTTATATTATTTAATAGAAAGCTGATTTATCAGGAGCGTTCATGGCTTATACTAACGATAGATTAATAATAAGCGAGGCTATATACCCCCACATTGTAGGCAATATCATCACGATACTATCAGGTCACGTTCAGCAAACTAACAAATTTACATTGCTCAGTTCATTTCATATATCAATGTGGGTGGCTATAGTGGTTGTGTTTGTTATATGTGTTACAATCACTGTATTTAATGCTGGGATTAAATGGATTAAAGAAAACAAAAGGGATAAACATTTTAATATATACGAAGCTATTATATGTATTATACTCGATTACATACTGGTGCTCATCGGGAAACGTAAAGAAAATTTTATAATTATATTAACAAATTTAGTTTAATAAACAACTATTCTGAGTATTATGAATTTACTGTATATATATTTTAATATATAGCTATTATAAGTAAATATGTACGAACTGGATCAGTTGCAAAAATATTATTCGCCCTATGGTTCACAAACTGTCTATTTTGGGATCAGTTATTCGTCAGTGAATTCTTGTCCAACTTGGCTACCATTCCCTTGTCTACCATCAATAGTCTCCAGGATATAGTCGATGATAATAGGCAGCTAACGGTGTTCATCGAGACAATGGGTTTCGCCTATAATATTTATTTAAAGGTATCCAAACATCTAGTTTATTTCAATAAACTATTTTACTTAAATTATCAACTAGCACCACGAATAGATAATGATATTATTTTAATTTTCAGGATAAATACCCGCAATTGAAATACAAAAACTTTTTAGCCTATGATTTAGATTCAGTCAAATTTCTGGAGCCCATCATCGATGGGACGGCCGTATTGATCAATGATGAGCAGGTGGTCGAAGAGCTCCTGTACCTCAACCCCACGCAATCGCTACATAAGTCGCGCGACAACTCCATGCTTATGAACGCCGGAGTATTCGTACGCAAAGGGCTCAACCCTCACGTGAAACACCGTTTCAAACAAAAGTAATATCATAAAAAATATTTTTAAAATATTTTAACATGGATAGGCCCATAATATTTAGTAAAATAATTTATTGTCTAAAGTGTATTAAAAATAAATTACAAGCCGTGTATGCAATTTATAATTTGTTTATTATTAGAATGACNAATTATTTTTAAAATATTTTAACATGGATAGGCCCATAATATTTAGTAAAATAATTTATTGTCTAAAGTGTATTAAAAATAAATTACAAGCCGTGTATGCAATTTATAATTTGTTTATTATTAGAATGACTATATGGACAAAAAATTTCAAAAGAGGCACTTCTCATGCATACTGTAAAACTTCAGTAAAATACTTTAGCATT